AAAATTTTGGACTGACTTTCGGATAGAAACTTCAAGAACCGTGTCCTTTAATAAGTTATTGTTATAAATCCTCTTATCATCTCTATAGGGGCCGGGTAACTTGCTCACCGTCGCTTCATAACTAGGCAACTCGTCGTTTTCTCCTATACCTTCCGTTAAATCTTCATATGGAATCCCGAATTCTTGCAATTGCAGTTCGACAACTTCGCGAGCAACATTTCTAGGCACAACAAGTCGTTTGTAACGAAGAAAATCAAGTATCACGCTAAATGCAAGAGGGTTGTGATCAATGAATATCTCTCTATCTTTTGAACCGATATTAACTAACTCCGCCAAACGACTTTTCGGGTAAGTTTGTACTAGGTGTCTGTTAATTTCGAATTTCGTGCCTCCCACGTTAAACAATATGGTGTCTTGAGACATTTCGAGAAAAGTTCTTTGGAAAAATGAGATTGGCAACAAAGAGTTGAGTGGAGCTCTGCCCAACGCACTTACATATGTGTTAAATGTCACTCATTACACTAAATCCTATTTATACATACAATATAATGGCGTACTGTTAGTGTTTATTGCTACAAAGAATCGTATCATTTTTCAGAGAAATAATGAGACGGAGAATCGGAATCGTGATATTATCCAACTCGGTCTAAAATTTTTAGATAAATTCCCTACCTCCTTGCTCGAAAAAATAATTCCCAAATTGAATTACCAAAACATCATCTCACGAAAGCCTTTCGTAAAAACCTTTCTTTAAATTCTTTAGCGAATTTTAGTTGACTAATCGGAAGATACCCCCCCCCGCCCTGGCTCAAAATGTATAGAATCAGGTAATGAGTTTATAAACATATTCTCATTTAATGATCGTAACGTTCCCTCTAATCGCCCCTTCACTCTCCAACAGCGACCCTAACCAATACTTGGTTAAAACCGGTGCATTCATTAAAGATGTGTCTCTTCAAAAGAAGGGATGGGTAATGCCCGGCCAACGTTCTATCTTTTTTGACATCACCCCTCAAAACTATACTCTACAGCTTCAAGCTATGACGGCCGAGAAATTGGAATTTAGCCTTCCCGCCGTGTTCACGATAGGACCAAAGGACGAACCCGATAGCCTGAAGAAATATGCCAAATTATTGGCCACGGATCAAAAAAATTCCGATTCGCATGTCAAGGAATTGGTTAAAGGTATTATCGAAGGCGAAACCAGGGTTATTGCTGCTGCAATGACCATGGAAGAAATTTTCCAAGAGAGGAAGGGATTCAAGGAGCAAGTGGTCAAGAATGTACAAGAAGAACTTAACCAAGTATGCTTTTTAAGATTGTCAATCAATTCAAAAAAATATAAGTTTGAAACCGCTGCCTCTTATTAGTCCTAATCTTTTTTTTAAAAAATAGTTTGGTTTGTTCATTTATAACGCGAATGTGAAACAATTGCAAGATACTCAAGGCTCCGAGTACTTTAAATACATGGTAAGCAATCAAGATTGAGATATGATTAAACCGAAATTCCCACGCATAAACTTATCCATTTGAAATAACAGAGGCAAAAAACCCATGAAGGTGCCATAAACAGTGCCAAAGTAGATGTCGCCGAGGCAAAATATCGTGGTGATGTCGGCGCAAAGCAAAGAGAAGGGTTGACAAGACAAGAAACGTACGTATTTCGCGTGAACGCGTGAAACCAAAAAAGAAGGAAGCGTAACAGATATTTTCGATTCTATTAGTGCGAAAATTGAATCCGACACGGTCATCATTGAGAATGAACGTAAAGTTACCATGGCACAAGCCGAAGCGAACTTGTCAACAAAAAAGTCGGAATTCGATAGGCAAATTAAAGTTGCTGGTACTTATTACTTTAATTTCCTATCTTCGAGCTAATTGAGATTCGAATTACGCATATGCTAATCTAATTCTCAATGACTCCTCCATAGCTATTGAGGCCTCGCAGGCAGCAAAAATGAGAGAAAGTGAGCTTCAAAAAGAAGTCGAAGAACGAAGGCTTTTGTCGGAGACAGAAAGGCTTCGTGTTCAATATGTCGCAAAAGCTACTGCCGAATACGAAGCAGCTAAGGCTGTCGCCAATGCTAAACTTTATACGGCGCAAAAGGAAGCCGAGGCTGTATTATATAAGAAGCAAAAAGAAGCCGAGGGTATACTCGCTCTCTACAACGCTCAAGCTGAGGGTATAAGGAATTTAATGCAATCCTTCGGTGGGGATTCCAATGCTGCTTTACAATACATCATGATCGATCGTGGTATTTACACTCAATTGGCCAAGGAGAATGCCGCAGCAATCCAAAACTTGAATCCAAAGATTACCGTGTGGAATACTGGCGGTGGTCATGGTGAAAATCCTATTGCAAATATATACCAGTCATTACCCCCACTTTTATCGACTATCCAAGAGCAAACTGGGATTTCTCCTCCTTCTTGGCTTGCTCAGATGCCTAATGGCAAAACATCATTGTCTAAAAATGATTAAACTCGATTGTACATATTATCATAGTCTATCTTTATTGAACATTATAAGTAACTTGTTTATTATACCAGACCATCCGGTGATGTACAAAGAAAGATCGATAGATGATTTGAATTGCACTTTTACGCGTATTAAGATGTGTCCGATTTGTTAATAAACTCCAAATTAAACAATTAATTATATTGACCGCATATACTGTATACAGTATATACGAACAGTATATTTTTTAATAAATATATTCACTCTTCTCGAATTGTTCACTGTTATTATGTGACCGTTAACGATTCACAAAATTTACTAGAAGGGTCACGACCCACGTGTTTTTTAATATTTCAAGTTTCACACAAACCTGCAGAAAATAGTATTAATTTTGACAATTTTTTTAATTACATGTCCAAGAATGATTTATGATTCCATTTAATGTTTCTACTATTTCCCTTGTTTCTTTTTTTTTTTTTTTATTAATTATATTTCATCTAAAATATTATTCATCAATATTTTTTTTTAAACCCATGATCAGGCCAGTACTGTATGTTTATTAATCATTAAAAAAACAGATTGAGATACATAGGACAATTGCATTATGGTTAAACTAAAAGACTCATATTGACATACTCATCAATGACTTTCAATTCTCAAAAGAGTTTTAGCCTCTAAGTACAACCTTGGGACAATATTTCATTCTGAATTAAGTTTTAGGTGAAGATTCTCCTAACTTATCTATCATTGCCAACAAGTCATCACTGCTTATTATCCTCTAAGAAACTGAATTCGAAAAATTACAAAAAGGGAAAGAAAAAAATAAAAGGACAGGGAGATATCTAAAAATGTGCAAATGCATTACATGAAAATAAAAAGAAAAAAAAATTAAAATTATTTCATGTCCTTCAAAGGATCTCTGTTAAAAACCTCTTCTTATTAAGAGTTAACCCTTCTGAAATATCCTTCTTCTTTCTAACCATCTGAGGAACTTATTCATCTGTATTTTTGATTATTTTCTTGTGACTATCTGAGATACTTATTGTCTATTCAGATCCAGTGTCTTGCTCAACACTTTCTTTCTTTCAATCTTAATTTTATATCCATTTGTATAAAAAAAAATGACTAATAGTAAATCCAGATTCTTATGTAACTTTTTAGTCTTGTTAAGTAACTTCTGATATCTTTCAGCAGCCATACCTAGTTAAAGGAATTTTACAGATATTTGTTTTAATTGCAATATCATTATACAATGTCTAGAGAAATGCATTTTCAATCCTAGAAAATGACAGTGTTTTATATTCCTCTACTTTTCAGTCTTACAGCCTAATCAGAATAAGAAAATAATCTTCTTCGTATACTTTGTCTAATTGGAATAATAAGATATTGAAGATCTTAGCTAAACAAATAACCACCTTTTCGTCATCTAAGAAATTTAGTACCCATTCTAATGGTCTCATTATTTCTTTGCTTTAGTTAAACTTCATTTGGAGGAGTGAAGAAATTCATATCCTTAATTTCTCTTTCTATCATCAATGACATTATCAGAACACGTGAGGTGATTAATAGGAATTTGTTTATATTCAGCTACTAATATATTTCATGTTAATCAATTGGATGTCAGGTGCCGTTATGCTATCAAAAATTCAGATTCAAACTGAGATAGATAAAATCTCCCAAAAAAACTGTGAAAACCAGTAAGTACTTTAAGAGAATATAAAACAATATATGAGAAGATAAAAAATAAACCTTCCCTTACTAACAGAACTCATATTTTTTATTGTTTCTAGATTTGTAAAGGGATATTCCACTTGTCAGTTTTTTTACTTTCTAGAACCTTTTTGCCTTTAATAGAGGAAGTATGTACTTGAGTCTTTTCAGGCCACTAGAGGCTCAAGTTTTTATTTAAAGAAGTTTATAAATAAGTAAGGGAGGGTAGGAAAGATAAATGAAAACAAGCTTTAGGTTGTTTTAATAAAAGTATAAAAACTTTATTAGCAAGCAAGTATAAACTTCTTGCAAATATTTTTTTTGTGTGTGATCAGAAAATCAGCAAAAAGAGTTTTTTAAAAGTATTTATTAATATTTTTTTGATTTATACTTGTAAATAAACTATTTATTAATTTTTTTAAAAAAATATAGTACATGAAACAATAATTAAATATTAAATTGAATTGAAATAATATTTTATTTTTATATTAAAGTATATATGGTAAAAAAATAGTCTAATTTTAATATAGTTAAAATTAATATAATATATCTTTAGATTAACTTGACAATAATTTATATTTTGTTTATATAGTATATCACAAATATTTAAAATTTCTTTTTTCAACTTCATATACTGTATTTTAATATATTTTGACTTATAGTCAAAACATATCAACAAAATACAAGCTGTCAAGAAAAAGAATCAATGCAAAGTTCTTTTATATTATTAAAATAAGAGTATATAATATTTATAAATTATATGTAATGATAAATATTTTTATTAGAATCTGCAGTAGTGATCTGCAGTAGTGATCTGCAGGCAATGAAATTAATAGTTGGAAGGGTTTTCACCTAAGCTACTAATGGAATGATAAATCACTTCCAAAGTTGCACTTAGAGTAGTAATAATCAAGACAAGTGAGTTAATTAGAGATTTAGCTTTAGCGATTCATTTTACATGTATAGTATACTAATGTTTAATAAAGCATACATAATTAGCCTAATAGAGGGTAAAAAAAAAAATAAATATTTTTATCAAAACAATCTATTATAATATCAAAAAATTAAAAAAAATAGATCTAAATATTCATATAAGGAATAATAGATAATAAAAAATAATTACTAATTTTGTAACATAAGCAATAAATCAGTATATTTATAATAATTATATTATTTTAATAAAGATTATCTATTAAACTAATAGAGAAAGAAATTAAGGTCTTTTGTAAGTCAATTTAATAGTATATTATAAATGCTATACATAAAAATAGTCTTTTTAAAAATATTTCAATATATACTAAGGCTTAAAAACAAGTATGCATTGAATAAAGACTTGAATATATTAAAAATAACTAATAAAATATATTCTTTATAAACAAAACAACCTTTTAGTTCTTTTATAATATAATAAAATATTTGTATAAGGATCAAAGATCTATTGTCTTATTTTAAAAAATTGAAAAAATTTATAATATAAAATAAATTTTTTAAGAAAGAAAAATTAAATTTATACTATTTTATAGTAACAATAAACACCAAGTTTTATATAAACATTCTTTGTAAATATATATTTGAAATAAAAGTAATACTTGATATTTAATAATAGTATTAATAAAATAATAATTTGAAATATAGAAGTTATCTTGCTAAGATTTTCTTTAAGAAAGTGTATCAGAAGTTATTGACTTCTATTTAACAATTTAAACTTAAACCCAATAAAAAATCTAGAAATTATAATTTAAAAAAATATGAAAGAATATATATCAAGGAATTTAAGTAAAGAATAGAAAAAACTTTTAACTTACTTTTAAAAAATTTGAATGCAGATAAAACAAAGGTATCAGAGAATAATTATAAGAAAAATAAAAGAATATTATATAAATTTTTTTAATATTAATAAAGTAAAACTAATTTTTAAAAAAGTTAAGTTATAAGAAATAAAAAAAATCAAAGTTAAAAAAAAAAAATATATATAGTTAATAATAAATAAATAAAATCAAAGTTAAAATATATATATATATAGTTAATAATAAATAATAATAATAAAACTAAAACTAACTAAACTTTTTCCGCTGATCCTCTACCCACACACAAAAAAAATGTTCACAAGAAATTTTTTATTTCTTTGCTAATAAAATCTTAATACTATCCTTAAATCAACTTAAAGTTTTACTTTAAGAGATACTCCTAAATCCTCCCTCTTGTTTATATTCATTTTCAAACAAAAACTTGGCTTCCTGTGATCTAAAAAAGTCAAGAAACACCTTCTCTACCTATGGCAAGAAAGTTCTGAAAGGAAGAAAAACTAATAGTATAGTACTTGAAGCCTTTCATATTGAAGCATGTCTATAAAGATTTTTTGCAGTGGGAGATGGCGAACATCAAGCCATATTTCAAAGTGTCTACCCACTGTTTCTTCCCTCTTATAGTTGCCTAAAATTTTTTTGGTTTTCTGGGGAATTTTGCCTACCTCAGTTTGACCCTGAATTTTAGGTAACACAATCTATTGCAA